ATTTTGTGACCTGGTCATAGAAGGCCACCAGGTTGGCCTGACGACCTGCCTCTAATGAACCCGTGTTGGTTGCCTCTAAGCATAATCTCCCCTGCTGGCCCCTCGTGGACATGTGCCAGGATAATTCTCTCAAAAAGCTTACCCAGGATCGAGGTAAGACTAACTTGCCTATAGTTTCCTGGGTCCTCCTTCCTCCCTTTTTTGAAAATGGGAACCACATTGGCCCTTTTCCAGTCCTCTGGCACCACACCAGAGCACCACGAGTGCTCGTAAAGCCGTGCCAGGGGTCCCGCAATGACCTCTGCTAATTCCCTCAGCACTCTGGGGTGGAGATTGTCAGGACCTGCTGATTTAAATACGTCCAGTCCCTCCAGAAGTTCCCTGACTAGGTCCTCACTGACCCTAGGCCTGGGTGCACCGGCCTTGGGGCCTACAGAGGTCCGGGGGGGGGGGGACCTGGTCCCTGCCCAGGAAAATGGAGGCAAATAAATTGTTAAATAGGTTAGCTTTGTCGTCTGGTGTGATGACCAGATTTCCTAGCGTGTCTTGCAGAGGCCCCACGTTACCCGGTACATATTTGCCTACGAATTAATCCAGTTTGTTGTGAAAACTTTTTTCATGCAGAAGATGTTGAAAACTGTTATCAGTTCCTTTCTGCAGAAAGGAAAAGATGCAGTTAATGGCAAGTATCTTGTTTCCCTCACTAATCACGAATAAACGTTACAGGAAATTATAATGATTTTTTCTGCTGTTTTTTCCCAAACATAAAAATGTAATCAGAGATCAAGGCTGCTAGTTATCAATCGGTTTGTAGTAATTCATCTTTAAAAACACAAAGTCGGGTTTCTTGATGCTGAGAATACTTTCAGTCTTGTAGAACTAAGTAGGGTCTATGAAAGACAAATTGGGCATGTCCACATCATTGAAAGCTCACACTACGCAGCCATAAAGTTAAGCACAGTATGGCAGACCTGTTACACCCCAACATGAATGTAATATGTAATGTGGCCACCTTTATGCAGCTCTGGGCAAAAACCAAAAAGCATGCCTAAGAGAGGGAGTGTATTGGTGTGTACTGCACTAAGGGGCGACATTACATCTATTTGAGAGTGTGGCGTACTTGGTATGGCTTCACCGCAGTGCTCCCTCTCATGATCCTTTGATCATGTAAATATGCCCCAAATAGGGTTTTATCTGTCGAGAAACTTATTAATTATACTTTTGAGGAGTTTTACTCAGTCTGTTTTGATTTCTATGTCTTCCTGAAAGAGTTGATCTAAACCATAAAATCTCATTTATATATTTTTCTCTGGTCACAGATTCTTTTTAGAACAACATAGAATAAAATTGCGTTTGGGTCTTTAGATTTATTTGTGAGGGAAGATACTGTGGGGTTCTACCTTGTCTTCCTCTTCCCAACTTCAGTGCTTAAGTACTTTACATCTTGCCTTAAAGCACAGGAATGTGTTAAGTTCTTAGGCAGTTTGAGTGCAGTGGCATGAAGTCCTTCTGGGTAGCAGAATGCTACACTAAAATGTCCATTAGATGTGCCATACACCAAAGGGAAGTAGCAGACACACAAGGTTGAGGATCCATTTTCACCATAAGTTCCATATTATCAGACAATTCCCATGCAGAAGGGAAATCTCAGGGTACTTATGTAGTGCTAAGTAGACTTGCTGCCCAAGTAATTTAACCCTTACACTAGTTCTCAAAGCTGCTACAGTATTAATCCAAGTTCACTAGCACATGCTTTTTTATGTAGCCAGTCAAACTATTTTTGATTTTAAAAGCTGATCCAAGACAGAAGTGGCTAAAATTCCTGGCCATGGACATTGATAACATTTACAGCTTATATGCATTCATGTTTGATTTGCTGCCAACACTGCTGTACCAACGTTGGGATTTTTTTTTCCCTAGGGAATGTCTATTGAGTATAAACCTTGCCCAGAAGCTTATAAAGAGTAACTAAAACATTTAAAAGATATGCTGTGTAGGATTTGCAGTGTCCCTTTTGTAGTTGCCAGTAGTTACCAAGAAGTTATGTGAATGTGTTGCTGAGAAATGTTGGAAAGTCCTGAGAAACAGCAAGCCCTGCTTCAAGGGGAAGCATGGATGCTGGTGGGAGAACTGCACAGCATTTTTTGAATCCAGGTGAATGATATTTGTAGATTCTCAGCACCTTTGAAAATCAAGGCACTTCAATGATTTGATATGAAGAGAGGTGCCTAACTTCAGGCTACATTTGAAAGTTTTGGCCTTAATTGTATACAGCCCACTTTCACGAACTAAGTACAGTTAGACCAGTGGTCGGCAACCCACAGCACACATGCCATACATAGATGACATGGGCTACTGGTATTTCGCAGATGAGTCCTCAGCATCGAGTTGAAGGGGGTGCTAGCAATGAGAGTAAGAATAGCTCTCAAAAAGGGGATGGGAGTTGGAGGTCTGTGTTGGCTCAGAGGTTTACCCCTGCAGGAGCTGTGGTGGTAGGTGCCATCAGCTTTAGTGTTGCCACATTCTGTTGTGATGAGATTTGTCAGCGCTGGGAAGTGGTGGTGGCTGAGAAAGTGGCAGTTTTTCATGGGTTGGACTTATGGCATGCTTGCTAAAAAGATTGGCCCCATTAGATCATCAAAGTATTCAGTCCTTCCACCTATGACCTAGCAGTGGCTGTCATTTTATATTCATACACTCTAGCTACTCTTACCCATGCTCTTGCCATGTCAAATTGAAACATCTGCACACTATTTTTAAACTGAAGTTAAGAAAGCAGCATCACACATTTTAAGCAGAGTAACTTTCCACAACCTCATGACACTAGTATTCATTTGGGTTTCTAAGTTAAGTTACATATGTGGGTTTGACCTCTGTGAATTGAAATGAACCTGCCTGCTAGACCACCTTTTCCCATGGCATACAAATGCAGTTATAATTGTAAGGGCATCTCAGTTCAAACATCCCATATTTAGAAAATAGGAAGTTACTAGAAGCATGCTCTCATGAATCATGTTGGATTTCAGAAGTTAGTACTCTGATTGATAGTCCAAGACTGTTGTTACATACATCATTTTTCAAAGCTCATCTGTTTTTCCTGCAATTTTAATGGGGAGGAGCACAAAGGGAAGAGTCAAATGAGAGCTGGGATTTCCTGCTTCAGATTAATTGTTTGTTGATTACATTTTGGTTTGGTGGGGGGTGCTGTTTGTTTTGATGTGATTGTTCTTTAAGCAGCTGTTAAAAGCCATGGATGCACAATATAATAGAAATAACCTTGTGTTGAGCAATCATTTTAAAGAATTATCGATTGTCAGTGTTCTTATTTCTGAACAAGACAAAACAAAAACACTCACTCTCTCTGTGAGCTTTGTACTCTCTGTGAATTTAACCAAAAGGGAAGCTGCCTGCTGCAGGAACTGAAGAAGACGGTCACAGGTTATTTGCTAAATCCCAGTATAGCAGATAAGCCAGGGATGGAAGGATTGAATCGGAGAAGGATTGCAGCACAAAATCCTGTCCAACAGATAATGAGCTCTGCCACCCATAAGACATGGGACAGGCTCCAGAGCTGTATACATTAAGTGGCAGTTTCCAGCTCTCATTTTTCTGGGGTGCAGAGTTTGAATCTTGCCCATACTCTTTGCCCTGAGATGTATATAATCTAAGGGTCAGCTATTTTAAGTGTCTTCAGAGTTCCTGGTATAATCTTCTTAGACCTTTTAAAAACCATATACACTAGCATATGCATGTTTGTTAATTCCTTGCGGGACATGTACGACAGACTTTGCTGTGTTTAACAGAAGCTAATTAAAAGAGCAATGTGTAATGAAAGTGTGCATGCTTTTTCTTTGTCTTAATCTTTGTATTGATTTTTTTTTCTTTCTGTTTCAAAGGGGAGCCATTCCACCAAAGTGGAAGCTGTGGTACGGACTCTGAAGAAAATCCAATGTAAAGATCCAGGGGCTAAATCTTTGGTTTTCTCAACGGTATTGATCACCATTTTCTATCTAAAAATTTCCATGCTGTGCAGCAGGATATTAGGTGCTAATAATAGTTTCAAAATTCAATTTTCCTACCAAAATATGCAAGTAGTTACCAATAGCTATTTAAATAGTTAAAGAGATAAGTGAGATGATTTATATCATTGGGGTGTTATTACTGGTAGCCTCATTCATTCGATGGAAAGTATTGTACGTCTTTAAAGGGAAAACACTGACATTCAGTGTGCAGGAGCATTAGCAAGTCTACTGTATTTTAACCTTGAGCAGGTCAAACTGTTATTCATAAATTTTACAACTGCATTTTACTGTTGCAGTTCTGCTCAGCTTTTTTTCAAAGAAGTGTCTTGCCTAAGTTCCTCAGTTTACTTGCCTATGCTTGCTCCTTATGAATGCTATTGTGGTGCCACTTTTACATTCAATATATCTGAGGAAAAAAATGTGAATGGTATTACTTTTGGAGCAAAATAAAACAAAACTTGTTAGTATTAATATTTAAGGGCATATCAGAAGGGCATGTTTGGTATTTCTTTATTGCTTTCTCTTTTGAGTATTTGTGAGAGATCATTATAGTCTGTTCATGTTTTAGCATTGTTCATACCACTTGGTAATAATGGTTGGCTTTTTGTGTGTCTTCTAGTGGCAAGATGTACTGGATATAATTTCAAAAGCTCTGTATGATAACAACATGGTGTTTGCTCAGATCAATGGAATTAGTAAATTTCAGGTTTGTAAAGAAGATTTTTTTTCTGTAAGGTATTCTGAATAGCACAAAGATAGATGAAAGTTTATTTGATCCTTTCACATTGGTGCTTTGAGGAAACGAAACAAAAATTATAAGCTTGATCAAGCAGAACCTTTAATTTCTTCACTGAACTCAAACACTACAGTGACTAGAAACATGGTGCAGTTCCAGAAAATGTTTTAACCACTATTGGCTAAACAACCTTGCCTGCCTTAACCACCATCTGCATTCTCAAAAAGTAATGTGTGGGTGGACAAAAGGGAAGAATAAAGAGCATGAGATACTGTTGCTGTCTGTGCTGTATCTGTCTGATGGACAAAAGAGGATGTCTGTCTGTAAGGGTTATTGATCTGGTATGTTTTCACAACTACTAAATTATTTTACAGTTGTAGATATGGTTCCCATATTCTTTATTCAGGAGTAGCTTCCATTGAAAAGCTAATATGTTGTTTGTCTTTTAGGAAAATCTTTCAGCATTTAAATATGACCCCAAGATCAATATTTTGCTCTTGCCCCTACATACTGGTTCCAATGGATTAAACATAATTGAAGCAACTCATGTCCTGCTGGTCGAACCCATTCTGAATCCTGCACATGAGCTTCAGGCGATTGGCAGAGTGCACCGCATTGGCCAAACAAAGTAAGAGGTTGAATTGTTTAAAATTGGTTAATGCCTTGTCCGGTCTAAAACACGACTGTATAACACTTGTGTGAGAATCTCAGACCACACCATAAATTTTAATTGATTAGCTCTCCCAGCACTTCTGGAATTTAGGTAATAGTATTCTTGCTTTACAAATGGAAAAACTGAGGATCGCACAGGCTGTAGGCAATATTTTCTAAAGCACCTAAGCGACTTAAGCTTCTTTGTTCCATTTCCACTTCAGAGAAGATCCAAAAAAAGACGTACCCATAGACAGATTTTAGGCACCCAAATACAAAATTGAAATCCTGGGAAGCCCTGCTCAAACTGGAGGCATGTAAAGGCTGCCTAACTGGACTCATGTAAAGGCCCCAGGCTTCTCATAGTTTGTAACTTCAAGTTCCACCCAGGCCCAAAGGTGTCTCTCTATGCACCCCCAGAATTTCCTTAGTCTAAAGAAGGCTGAGCAGTTCAACACTGAACTTCTTCAGAAGTCTGATCAGATCTTGAAATTTGGTATTCCCTTGCCTAAGTGCCCAAAGGAGCTCAATCTAGTAAGTGTACTCAGAGCATGCTTAACATGTTTCTACAGGACTGGCATATGCACAAAATGCAGTGGTAGCTGCTGCTTTCTTTAAGAGCAGAGGGGAAGGTAATAGCTTCATGGTTGCTGCTTACTGGTTAGGGCAGTCACCAGGATGTGGAAGACCTGTGTTAAAATTTGTTGTGCCTGAGGGGATTCAGAGCCACATCTGCTTCCAGAGAAGACTGCTTTAGCCATTAGACTAGTAAAAAAAGTCTCTAACTGGAACAGGAGAATTTATATACCTCTCCTCATGTTGGACCTGTGCCATTCTGCAGAGAAGAATTCCAAGATTCATTGGACCAGGGAGAGTATGATTTAATCTACTGGGTAATACCCATATATGGATTCCTGTTCTGAGAACTGTTTTATGCAAACTATACAAATAATATGGAGCAAGTGCCAGCACACAGTGGGAAAGATTCAATAAGAGGTGGTGAATGCCCCCATCTGAGACGCAGGAGAGCCTATAGTCTGGTGATGATGGACACTCTTAGGAGGTGGATTTTAATCCTGATGGGCAAAGAAGGTGTCTTAATCTGTCTCCCCTACAGCCCAGGTTACTGCTTTAACCACTAGCCTATTTTGCCAACAGTACCCTCCATCCCAGGTAAAAGTAGGTACTATCATGCCCACTTCCTGACATTTTAAAAACTAAAGAGTTCCTGCTACATTCCTGAAAGATAGGTTGTAAGCACTCCCTTCAGGAAAGGCTTGTGGTCTGTAGTCAAGTACAGATCCCACAGCCCTGAATGAGGCACCTGAGCTCTGGAGGGGGTTGTGGCTGAAGATGCATACCTGTTCTTTGCAGTTCCTTGGCTATTACTAGGCAGTGCCTTGCTGCTCAGCAGTTCCCCATACAATATACTGGTTGTTCTCAATTCCATTTTTAGGTGCCTAATCCTCCCTAAGCATTGTATAGGGAGCCTGGGTGCCTTAAGGGTGTCTGTTAGCTTCTTGACACAGCTTATTAGTCCAGATACAGCATTATGCAAATATAGCTATAATGCATCTGGTTCAAGAGCTAGCAAGTGCAGAGCTTCTTCGGATAGAGCTATGCTATATAGCTCTACTGTAGTGGTTCTGCACTGCACTGGAGGAGCATTGAAACACTGCTATTGTAATATATAAGCCCTTTTTAGGATCCAGTCCTTGGATCTTAATTCTCATTGAAAGTCAGTGGGATGTAGATTCCTCAATGCCCACATAGTGCAGCGGAGCCATGGAGGCTGCCCACCACAGGGTCCCATGGTTTGGTGGGGTGGAGGGTGCAGTCCCTGAGAAGTTGGACAGGCCTGATGTTATCAATAAGCAACAAAATAAGACTGGCACTTTTTTGTACAGTTGTACACCTGGTACACTTACCTGGTATGCTTGTAAGTACAGTGTGTTGCACTGGTTGGCATCGGTGTTTGTTGATAATCATAGCTTATGTTCTGTATATCTTAAAATTCTAGATGAGCGCGTTCTATCACTTTCACTGAGGGTTGTCTGGTGCACATCCTTTTTACTAATCCAGTACTTCCTTAAAGGGAAACTCACTTAAAAAAAAAAAAAAGCAATAATTTATTTCAGAAAACATGAGCTTGTCAGTACATCTATATTTTAGTTTTTTTCTGCAGTATCCAATATCTACAGTTTTTTTATGTTCTTTTCTTTCATACCATCACACTGAAAATGAATTATTTAAAATGACTGTAAAACTATGGGTTGGTACATTAACACCAGGTATAGTATGCTTTTTGTTAGTGCATTTGCTAATTTTAAATTCATTATTTCCATATTTTCACCTTAATTTCTCTGAATCGTAGGTGGATCTTTGTGCAGCTGTTCTGATGTTGCAGACCACTGAACCAAGCCCTTTAAAAGTTCATGCAATATGGTTTATATATAAATGTTCACCTACTTAGGTCAAAAGTAACTTGGAAAATAAAAACAGTAACACATGATATAGAAACATAGCTGGAACAAATATATTCCTGAATAAAGATAACATGTTTATTTTGTGAGGGCATGAATCAGCTTGTATGGAAGAATGTATGAGCAGGTGTATGTTTGGGTGTGGTGGTAAATATTTTGAATCAACTGAGCACATAGATCAGATTGATTGCAACAGCCAGTATTATGATTTCACATGATGCTGGCACTAGAAGTTCAGGGTATGGCAAAAAAATACAACCCTGTGTAACAGAACTGTGTGTAGCAGCAGCATGTTGTGTTATATTCATTGATTAAAATGTGAGCCTTGGGTTAAGCTGAAGGCTATCTATAAGTGAAATAGACAGTTCAACCAAATTCTGTTCTGGGTTTCACAAGTACAGATCTGAAGTAACTCAAGTCAGTAAAACTGATCTTGATTTAGTCCCCTATTCTGCATAGAATTGTGCTGACACTTCCCTTTGCCTATCTAAGTAGTTTTCCTTGCTTTATTAAAAAATAGTTTGTGGCTTGAAAGACTCTCAGTTACTTGAGTGGACTTTGAATCAGGTCCTGGCTGAGCAGTAGTTAATGCCTTGATTCCATTTTCCTATATAAAGTATGTTCTGAAGTCGTATGTTTAGAAGGACTACACACTGGTTCACAGATAGTGCCTTTGGGTTTTATGTCCCATGTGTCCCCACCTCAGAACCCTGAGAATTTTTTTCTCTCCTCCAGCTTTGTTCTGCTCCCTTTGGTAAACAGATTTTCACCCTGTTTTATGTGATATATAAACTACAATTCTATTTACTGTCTTGTCTTCTGTAATAGCAGTGCCATTAAAACTATGGGAATGAGGCTTAACAGGCCATTATTTTGAGCTCCCTCTCTTGGACTTTTTATGCAGCAGCAGAATATAAAACACTTCACATACTGTATAAACAGTAGACTGTATTCATTACACAGAGGTAGATTGTGACTGGTCCTCATATTGGTGGGCTCTTGTGAACACCACAGGCTCCATCACAGTTCTTGTGTACAGGAAGTTCAGGAACCACCCCACCACTGTGAGGAGTCCTCCTGGCATTATGTTATTCTGGACAAACCCCTGGGTAAAAGACATAGTTTGAGCACTAGTGAAAACGAGGGTGGAGTTCTGCTTAATGTTTGTTAGGACGTTATTTATTTCTCATTCATTTAGGTCATTGCTGTTGGCATGATAAGGAGTGCTGGGTATTCTTTAACTCTTGGTGGAGGTTGCTCAGCATCTTGTGGGATTGACCCTAAAATCCAAAAGACATTTTCAGACCAGCTTAAAAGAATTTTAAGATGGCTAAAAATTAGTCCTGAACTTCTTGGCAGTATCCAACAACATTTCACCTGTGCTAAACTTCTCTGTTTTTTGGTTGTTTTTTTAAACACATTCAGGCCCACCATTGTGCACAGGTTCTTAATAAAAGCAACAATAGAAGAAAGGATGCAGATGATGCTGAAAACTGTGGAGAGAAGGTATGTTTCTCAATTGAGGGAGTTTAAAAATATTATTTGATTTTTCCCCCCCTCCCCCCAGTAAAAAGAGTAGTTTTCAAACATTTGCATGCTGTTTATGACCAAATGAAAAAACTTTAAACCTTTGCTCTTCTCTGAAACGTTTTCACTGTCACCAAAAAATTTATAAAAACTTTGGAAAAGTGAGATTTTTAACCAGGATGAATATTCACTAACTTTAGATGAAATATAAAACATAACTATAATGAGCCAGAGCCTACTCCACCTATTATGTACATAAGTAGACTTTGGCACCAATTTCACACTGTTCAGGCCCCTGAAAATTCATTAGTGGATTTATTTTAGTATTGTGCTGTCATCTTAACCTTAAGGCACAGAAAAGCAGCGAAGAGGAAGAGGATTCATCTATCTTTTGTGTTACATTTTTCAGGGATCCAAGCAGGGTGAAATGGGATTCCATTTGGGCATCTAAATCCACATGGGCACATCCTATATCAGGGGTGGACAAAATGCGGCCCATGGCCCAGATGCAGCCTGCCAGGACATTCCATCCAGCCCACGGGGCCCCTAAAAATTTTAGAAAATTAATATTAATCTGCCCTTGGCTACCTGTCATGTGGCCCTCGATGGCTTGCCAAAACTCAGTAAGCGGCCCTCCGCCCAAAATAATTGCCCTCCCCTGTCCTATATGGTATAGCCCTTCCCTTACTGGATATGCATTTTAATTTTACTTTATTTACTTGAATCCAAGATGACATCTGTTCCTCCCTATCCTCCCCCACCTTCTCAATATGGAGGGGGAATGCCCCTCATCTTAAATTTGAGTACAAGGGGATAGAAGGGCAGGTGGCTACCGCAGCTCCAGCCTCGATCCAGGTTTGGGGTCAGAGCTGGAGCTGCAGTTAGAGCTTCTACCCTCCACTGCCTCTGCTCCACTTACCCTCAGTCACAGCTCTGACTTCAGCCCAGGGCATAGAGCACATTCCTTCATTGCTAATCTCCACATAATGCTGAGCCATAGTATTTCAGTTGCTTTGTCTTTAAAATTGCCTACTGGAAAAGCTTTTTGTAAAATGCCCCCAAAGTAATAAACAGGATGGCTCATGTTGTTTTTGGTTAAGCACAATAATAGGCATGCTCTCTCATGCCATCTTCCTTTTGGATGTTCACTAGAGTGTAATTTTAATGTACTGTCTATTGCACACAGCTTTTTTCTGGAACTGTTCTCTGACTCAGATACTTTTCCCTACAGCCACACTAGTTCTTCCATGAAACAGTCAGAAGCCTCAGTTTTGACAGTTGCTGATCTGGCAGACCTTTTTACAGAGGAAACTGAAGAACTTGAATGAAAAGTCTTTGGCTTGACCCAGTGAGATCTCTTGGGAAATGATGTGACATTGAGTATCTGTATGAAATCATTAGGACTGTCATAAATCTCTGTATATGTCATCCAACATTCACCCTAGCTAGGGTTCCTAAAATTAGTAAGATCCTTTAATCATTACCATTGATTTTGAGTCCTTAGAACATCTTTTCTGATAGCACTGGAGAGAAATTGCACTTTGCACATTATACAGAAAGATGGATTTTATTTTCAAAGAATATGATTGATTCTCAGGCTGAAATCTTTGCCTGCTGAGGTCAGTGGGAGTTTTGCCACTGACCTGGATTGGCCAGTATTTCATTCCAGTTGAGTAAATCTGTGAGGATGGTGTGAGGGTGGGGAACAGTAAAACAGGTAACAAACTATTTGCTGTGGTCTTTTTAACTGTACAAAGCATTGGCCAGAATGAATTCCTTTGTAAATAAATATCCCCCTAGAAAGGACTTCTGTTGTAGTTAGTGTTTAACAAGTCACTCAAGTATTGAAATAACCCTTCTTATTTGTTAATACTCACTTATGAATCATTACTAGTGAGTTTGTTGTTCATGGTAATCTTCCAGGTATTCTATTATGTAACAGCATAAAATTGCATTATAACTTAAATTTATTCCATGTTCACTTTCTGCAGAGTTGATTAATTAAATTATGGCTCTTGTATGTATATGGGTCTTAAAATGATAGTTAAATACTACTGTATACATTTTTAAAGATACTTAAAGCCATGCCTACTTTAGTGATTTGTTGTAAGAATTTGGAGTCCTTTGTAACAGAATTTTTAAAAAGTAACTGGTTAAGCTACCCATAATTTTATACTCTTTTGGTGTCTGTCTATTTTTTTGTTGTTCTTCATCTACTCATTTACCTTTTCCCAGAAGGTTTTTACAGCCAGAAGGTGGCATATAAAATGAATAGGTCTTACAGCATCCATAGTTAAGATGTTTGTACCCGACGTGGAGATTCAGTAATTTTATTATGTATTAAAAATACAGTTTTATCTTCTTCAGCTTTTTCAGTAAAGAATATTTTCTCCTGGAGAATTTACAAATAAGTGTTAGAGTTAAATTTAATTAGAAATGGATCTTAAGAAATTTAGCATTGTATCATACTTTTGTCTCTCAATACATAGGTCTACAAGCTTCTCATATCGTTAAATCATTGCAGTTTTGTACACACATAGCATTTTAAAATGTTTTTGTAGGATTTTATGATCATTTCCCAGTTTTTTACAACTGGAAGTATCTTTAACAAAGGCAGGAAAAAATTCTGCTTCAGAGAAATCCATGAAGACCTGCACCCTTCCAAAGTGGCCTCCCCTGTTTTTTTCACTGTGACCAAGGCCACTGTACTTATTCATAAGCTCTTTACAACGCTCTGGCCTTCATCCTGACAGCGTGAGAGATCACCATCCTTCCAAATTACAGTCTTGCTTTATTTCCTGGGAACAATGTGAAAGTTATCATCATAACTGAAAGCAACATTAGCTCCATCTTAATAGTTCTTGTCTAGGAATAAACATTTTTGTCATAGATTAAAACCCTAGAAGTGAGATTCCCCTCACAGGATTAGGATACCTGTGGCCTTCTACATTAGTACAGCTTTCCAGTGGACCTGAGCTTCAAGCACATGGTTTCCATTTAAGCACCTAATAAGGATTAGATTTGCAGTAATTTATCTAGTTACTGACATCTCTGGAAAATCAAGGTCTGATTGTTAGTATGGAACTCTCTTGATAATCTGACCCTTACTCTCTTTTACTTCCCCAGCTGAAAAATATGTATGATAAATAATTTTCCCCCTTCATTTATCTGCAGCCTGTAAACTGAGTGCAGGGTCATTCTCCTCCTCTCTCATTATGCAGGACCAAGGACATTGGAGCTTCCATGATCTCAGAAGCCTCTCAATGCTACTCTGAAACAAATAACTAAACTCCCTTGAACTATAAGTTCGAATTCTAGTTGGGTCAAAAGCTCAGCCATCCAGTGTTCTGAAGTACTAAACTGAGATCCATAAATTTTATTTCATTGATTGTTTTTTGGATGAGACTTTGAAAGCTAGGATTCTCTTTGCTCTACAGGTGTGTCTAAGGTGCATTCTTGCTATTTTTAAGTTAATATGTTAACTAACATTCACTAAAATTCTATTAAAGCCCAAGGCACTCCATAGTTTTCACACAAAGTAGCAGGTCAGGATCAACACTGGAGAAATCCTAGGTTTATGCCGACCTACTAATGTATATTAGAATTACAACTTCTTTCTTATCTTTAGGATTTTATTTCCTGGCACATTTCTACTTACTGAAGACCTAGCTGGTTTTGGACATGAAAGCCAGTGGCACTTTTCATAAGAATAAGGATTTCCCTTTATACTTGATCAAGATTTTCTTCCCACCTTGTGGGGAGGGGGACATGGTCAAGCTGCTGTTCTCCGTCCAAGAAAGGGCATCATTTTAGTGACATGGCATTTATGTATTTTCTCCAGAGTTTAGTAATCTTTCAGAGTGAAAGATTGCTATAGAAACTAAAATGCTGCCTGGACCACACAAACCTAATTACCTAGTTGTCATAAGATTCACATTACTCTTTGGACTCTGGATGGATGGGAAGGCAAGAGGGTGATCAGGGTTTGTTTGACCTTTTATGGCATTGTGTGTCTGGAGCCTTGTGTTACAAAGATGTTTTACATTTCCACTCCCTCCTGCAGGCCTTGCAGAAAGGCTATCCCAAGCTAATGCTCCTTGTCTACATTACTTTTCCAGGACCCCAGCTGTTCTCTGAAAACAATATTCCTCCTGTGGGCCCTTTAATCAGTAGATTGGATTTCTATTCCACAGAGCAGCTCTTCAGAAAAACTGTGCTGTTCTTCAGTACACAACTATATTGAGGGATAAAGTTTGGATGAATTGAACGATGTAACAAAAGTTTTTGCTTATAACTTAAATAGCCTTCAACTGGCATATAGGTGTTGACAGTTTTTTCTACAGAAAAGTTTGTTTTCTTTCCATCTCATTAGTGGATTCTGACTGTTTCTGAAGTTTAATCAGAACATTTACTTCTTGAGGTCTGAGTGGTGCAGGAACTCCTTTAAAGACAGAAGCACTAGTTTACAAAGCTGCTGTGTCTGTACCCACTGTTTTTCTTCCTTTTTTGGTTGCCTGGGATGTGCAAGTTCTTTACGAGCTTGGTTGTGTACTATAAATGCAGGCTCTAGGAATCCCACGCTGAGAAGTATGAAGCCAACAAAATCTTTCTTTTTTTTTTTCTTCTCCTTCCTCCCAGCTTGCTTAGTCTCTTACAAAGAATGTGTGTGTTTGGTCGGTGGCATTGAAGCAGATGAGTCACAATCTATAAAATGGCTTCAGTAAAACTAGCTTATTAGAATTAAAAAGTGTATATGAGTTAAAAAAACAAACAAACATTGGGGGAGGGAGAGAAGAAAGGATCTTAGCCAAATGGCATCCCTTTCTGCAGCTTACACTATCTCCTTTTTGTTTTTCTCTTTCCTACAGAAGCAAATTTCACTCTAAGCACTTTTATTTTTATATTTCTGGCTTTTTATACAGCTGAATTATTAAGAAACCATTAAGGTTTATAACTCTTAGTTAAAAAGTAAGAGATTCATCAAAATATACAAAAAGCACTATGTAGCACCAGTGCTGCCAGTTCCAGTGACTTTTTTGCTGCTCTTTTGGAGAGCAGGGGCAAAAGCACAGCTACTCATAACTCATTGCAACATTAAAATTATCTCTTGCACGTGGTATTGCTGTACAGCTTATAGAGAAAGCTGGTCAGCTGAATTTTGGCACTTGCAGGAATAGTTAAGGCGCACAAGAAAGGAAGAACACATAACAGCTGCAGATACTTCCTTTGCCTGAAGAAGGGTGTTTGTACCTGAAAGCTTGCAAAAAAGAATTTCTTCAACTATTTTAGTTGGTCTAATAAAAAAGACCAGATTTACCCAAAGAACCTTGCCTGCCAACTAAAACCCCAAGTCTTCTAAGGGAAATATTAAACTGTGTAACAGTGAGGGGCGTGTTTGTGCAGCCCAGTGGCCTGTGGTTTGACTGGTGCAGTCCACATGACATACAGGTGGGCCTGCTGGTGGCTTCTGCCGAGCTATAGAAGTTAGCTCTAATGTACTTGTTACTCCCACAACTCTACTGGTGGCGACTTATAAGACGGGAAAAATCCATCCATGCCAAAGGTAATGAAGATTTTACAAGTAGAATAATGGCTTCAGAGACACATTTGTGCAACCCAGCTGTTTTCCTTTAGGGTCGCATAAATGTAGCCAAGCACGAGTAAAAAGGATTCATATCTTTTTTAAAATGCCTTGTCAGATCTGCTTTTAGCTTTCCTACAGTACCAGTTATCATGGTACCTACAAACTGTGGCATAAACTCTTATCAGCACAAGGCTTTCTCTGAGACTATGGCATCAAGTACAGGAAGCAAAGTAAATTTATTGTGATCAAGACCAAATTACTTTTAAAGTCCACCATGATAGAGTTTGGTCTCAAGAAGTCTGCAGAAACAAGCCCCATTTATGAAACAGACGCATATCCCTTGTGACTGCTGGGAACCAGCCGAGAAACAATGTGCCAAGTGCTGGAAAATATTGCCGTCTCGTTCAGAGAGAAAATCCTGCTTCCATGCCACCCCAGGAAAGTAGTAATCTGCTCAGTCCTCAAAAAAACAACACAATGTGTATGTTTAATTTGGGATTGCAGATCATTACATGATTCATCTTTTTTAAATATAATTATATATCAATACAGTGCCATTGTTACTCTAGCTGTTTTGAACGCACTTATATCCTAACTCGAGGATAGAAACTGCAGCTAAGAAAACGGGACAGAGATGCAACATTGTAAGGATATAGAGCAAGTTGTGCGTGTATTTCATGCTTCTCTGATTACTTGCTTGTCTTTTAACTGTTCAAATTGTGTTGTGACATTAACATTTTCATGCAAGACATGCATGATGAACTATAAATATTAGGGGTACACTGATAAAGATTTTTTGGGCCGATACCGATGGATGATTATTAGCTAGCCATATTGGCCAGTACTGATCCGATTGTTCATATGCAGTCCAGCAGCTTGGAGAGCAGCGTCTGGCTGGTAAGTCTGTTGGGGGGAAGGAGCAGGGGTGGAGGAGGGAAGGGGTATGGGGGGGGCAGATTGAGGCCCCCCCCACAGTGAGGGAGCAGGACTCGGCAGGGGCTGCACACCTGGGGCGCAGGACAGAGCCACTGCTTTTCTGGGGAGGGCAGAAGGTGGTTCCTGCCACTCTATGCACACCCAGGGGAGGCACAGGGGAGGTGTGTCTGTGCGCGGGGTGAGGGCGGGCTGCCACTGCGTGCTCCAAGCTGGGGTTGTGCCGGCCTCTTCCTGGCAGAGGGGCTGGGCCAGGGCTGCATTTGGGGTGGGTGGGGGCAGGGCAGGTGATGGCAGCGCTGGGAGGGGGGCTACAGCATATATGGGGGGGGAACTGTAGCCCCCCTCCCAGTGCTGCCACTGCCCGTCCCGCCTCCACCCACACTGAGCACAGCCCCAGCCAGCCCCACCCCTGCCAGGAATAGGCCAGCACAGGCCCCAGCCTGCAGCAGGCAGCCCACCCTAGCCCCATGCACAAATCTCGGGGACACATGCCCCTCATGCCTCCCCTGAGCATGCATGCAGCAGTGGGAGCCGCACACTGGACAAGCTGCGATTCCATCCCACACCCCAACCTGGCTGTGCAGCACCTGCCCCAGCCCCGCTCCCTCCTTCACCGTGGGGCCTTGATCTGCTCTCTCCCCCCCTGCTTAAAAACAAGCCCAGCTTTTTCTTTCCCACAGATATTACCAGCACAATGCTGCTCTCTATGCTACTAGGCTGGACTCCTGGCCACGCGCATGCTGGGGCTGCATACATGCGTGCGGCATTTATCGGTGACATCATCGGCCACATCAGCCAAAAAAAGCTGGTTGCCGGTAATGTCAGTTTTCCTTTTATCAGTGTCAATACGATATGGACTGATATATCAGTGAACCTCTAATAAATATCTAATTGGGAATGTAGGAAACTGCATTTAAATTCACAGGTAGGTTGGAAATTTAGATGAGGTAAAAGATTATTTAAGTAGCATTCTTGCTTACATTTCTGAGAATTCCCTTATGTAACTGAAGGTACAACATTGAACTGGAACCATGGTTTATGAGAGTAGCTTTTCCATTATTTCCTTCGTAATCAAGCAATGCAAAGTCTGGATTTTGTGGAGTTTCTAGTCTTCTGTTCGTTAATAGAGGGACTAAGTTCCAGTGGCAAAAGAAGGAAGTTTACTTAGAGAATAGGCAAATAAGGCATTTAATTCCTCCTTTCC